AAAAAAAAAAAGAAGAAGAAGAAGAAGAAGAAGAAGAAGAAGAAGAAGAAGAAGAAGAAAATAGATTTCTGCTATGCATAGGTGAATTCTTTCAGAGCAGACTGTGTAGCTGAGGAGAAATTCCTGATCCTTTTACCTCTACCTCCCAAGTGCTGGTACTCCAGGCAAGGCACTCCACTAGGCCTGACTCTTCCTGATATAAATATATCAGGGAAAAATATATTCTAATTTTTATGTCTGTATATATAAAATCTTTAGTTTTTTAACAGGGTCTTTCTATGTAGCTCTGGCTATGCTGGAACTTGCTATGTATATCAGGCTGGCCTTGAACTCAGAGATCCACCTGCCTCTGCCTCTCAAGTCCTAAGATTAAAGGTTTGCTCCACCACACCTGGCTTGTTTTGTGGAGACAAAAATGGTCTTGCTATATAGCTCTGACTGGCCTGGTATTCATTATGGAGCTCAGGTTGGTCTGGAACACACAGCAGTCCTAGTGCCTCAGATTTGCAAAGTATTAGGATTACAGATTTGTGTTTACTAGATTTTTCCAAAGAGATGCTTGGAGGTAGCCAGCAGCTCTGAAGATGTGTGGAAGAGAGTCTGCATGGGGAAGGGGGTTGGTTTTGTCTTTAATCAGTCAGCTTTTTAGATGAGACCGGAAACACCAAAAATCAGAGTAGGTAACTCAACGAGACTGTAGCGGGATCTAACTCCATTTATAAGCTCAACACTTGTGCTGCAAGTGCCTGAGACCAAACAGCAGAAAATGAAGTCAATTTAGGAGGTCAAGAGCCAGGTGTGACGCCCCGCCTTTAATCCCACCCAAAGCTGGGGAGGCTGAGGCTGGCAGATCTCTTGAGTTTAAGCTTGGGGCAGGAGAATTTAAATCTCTATGGAAGGAATGTGGGTGGTACAAGTGTAAATGAGGGAAGATTCCATCTGAGGGGTGGATTTCAAATCCTTCATTGGTTGAGGACTCGTCAATATTGTTTTTTCCTTTTGTACAGGGTCCTGCAATCTAAGTCAGTTTGAGCTGGAAGTGGGGATCCTTCATACTTCAGCCCTCTGAGTGCCGGGATACGGGTGTGTGCCACTATGCTTAACTGACCATAATTCTTGAAAAGGGAATGCTTCTAAAAAATAAGGGATCTTCATAGGGAAAAGTCAGAGGTTCTGGTAGATTGTTCAGAAGCAGCAGCCATGTCGAGCTTGGAATCCCTGGTTTCACGTGTGCTAGGCAAGCACGCTTATTGAGCCTGGCACTGGGCCGACTTATTCTTTGTTGTTTTAACGGTTTTTTTGAGACAGGGTTTCATTATGTAGCTCTAGTTGGCCTGGAACTCATCTGCCTGCCTCTGCATACTCCAGGTTAGGAGTAAAGGTGTGGGCCAAGGTCCTGCTTCCTGGACCTTGTGTGCTTAAAGTTGAGACAACTCCGCCGGCTGTGGAGCATGCTTAGAGGCACACGGAATGATTAATGAGACCCATTAGCTTCTTTAAGAGTTTACTGTCCTTTCCCATCACCTGTGACACCCAGGACCACGCTCACCCTCAACACCTGGGGTCTAAGGGAAGAAAGCAGACTCCAGGCAGTGGCCGGAATCGGTGGAATCACAAGGCCGAAGGGCGGTATTTTAAAATCTGCACATCAATACCGCCCATTTCCAGGCCGTTGTTATGCACGCCATTGGCCCTCTTCGAACTAACACTTTTTTCTTTGCAGCGAAATGTGCTGCAACTAGTCCTCATCTCAGAGGAAAACTGAGAGGGAATAAATTCGCTCAGGTCACAGACCAACGCTTCCAAGTAGGCATGCTGGAGATGCGCCCCTGACTTAAACCACTGGGCTGGGGCATGTGGTGTTTTAGAGATAGAAAGCTCGGCTCGCAAGGCTCAAGGACCTCCAGGAAACAAAAACCCAGCAACAAAACCCAAGCCTTAACAGCCTGCCATTGACGCTCCGTCCAATGGCTTAGCTCATTTTAGAAGCCCTGGACTTGGGAGTTTGCAAACTTGGTCGGAGGAGCGCAGGCTTGAGTCAGGTGGAGTGAGTCGGGCGCCCCTCTCCAAGCCCCCCCCCCC